GTCCTCCCCATCAATGCCAGGAAGTTTGTGCCATTTAGTTCCGCTTCTTCTCACTTAGCCCCTTCCTTTGTCAAGAGGGGCAAAGGTTAAGGACTTGATGTGTCCTGAGCATCTGCTGTCTGCCAAGCGCTTAGCATCAGCCTTCCATGATCTCCTTTAGTCCTTACTCAGCACTTGGTAGAAACATAATCTTCCCGTTTCACAGGTTAAAAAAAAACAAGGACTTGCGAGGTGAACAATTTCCCTAGAGCCAGGGATAGTGAGTGCAGAGACAGGAGTGGAAGCTGCTGCTTTATTCCCTCTCCTGGGCTGGGGTGTCCTCTCAGAACCACTCCCAGCACCCCTTTCGTCCTTGTAGAAAGCCCATGTCTGCGGAACCCCTGTCAGAACGACGGGCACTGCCGGGAGCAGGGCGCCCACTTCACCTGTGAGTGTGCACTTGGTTACGGAGGAGACCTCTGCACAGAGCTTCGGGACATGCCACTCCCTGAAAAGCCAGGTAAGAATTCATTCTCTAGCCCTGTATCCTCACAGTCCCTGCCCCACCAGCAACTGCCACTATTCCATGTATTCTCTGAGTGGACAGATTACTGTGATCTCTGAACCCATAATAATCTGGCCACTCAGTATATATTCTATAAAATAAAAGGCTAATATGAAAATTGTCCCCTCAACCAGGAGTTCCATCAGCAGGCAACCAGACAATGGCCCATGTCCCCTCCCTCTGGCCAGGTTGGCTGGACCCCACCCATGCATGAATTCATGCACTGGGCCTCTAAAAAAAAAATTAAAAATAAAAATACACACATACACACACACACACCCATACACGTATATACCCATACACACACACACACACACACACACACACACACTGAGTGGCCAGATTATTATGTGTTCAGAGATCAAATTATCTGACCACTCAGTGTATAATGTTCACATCTAATAGGTATTAAAGACATATAACAGATAGGTAATATAGTATTAATATAATCTATATTGTAGAAAATATAACATGATTCTTAGAGATTAACAAGACAGGGTTCTCCAAGAATCTGAGTCACTGTGGAACCTCCCTGATCCCCAGCTCTCTTCTGATGTCTACATGCCTCACCCCCACTGTTCCTTCCCCTCTCCAAGACCTTTTGTTTTGCCCCATCCAAAACTACAATTCCCTTGAGCCTCTGGGCCAGTGACTCTCCAACTTTGTCTTACTTAAGATTGGGAAGGGGGCAGGGCTGGGAGGGTTGGCTTATTTAACACATTTATTCCGAGACTCATCCCCAGAGACTTGGATTTGGTAGATCTGGAGTGGGCCCAGAAGTCTGCGTTTTAACAAGTTCCCAGGCGACTGAAGTCATTCTAGGATTCTTCTCTGAGAAGTGCTGGTGGAGAGGCTGCCCTGGACTCCAGGGACTAACTGGATGACTCCCCCCTAAAAGGCTCACGGGAGCTTTGTGCCCAGAAACGGAGAGTTCTTGGGGGAGGGAGTGCCACTAAGGACTCGGAGCCCCTGGGGCAACAGCCCCCTGGAGGAGTTACCAGTCACAGCCGGGGACTTAAGAGGATGCAGGACCGTCAGGACGACAACCAAAGACCAAAAGCACGTGTCTCCTCCTCCACCCCTTCCTATCCCATTCCAGAAGTGTCCAGCTTTGTGGTCATCCTGTTGGGCATGCTGGTGCCCGTGGTGGTCATAGTGCCCGTGGTGGTCAGAGAATGTGTTTCCAAGAAGAAGAGGAGGAGGCGAGTTCGGGGAGAGGGCAGCTGGGGGGGGGGGTGAGTGGACGTGGGGAGTGGGCACTGACCCTCTCTTTTCCCCACCATCCTCTAGGGAGAAAACGCGGAGCCGCAACAGAGACAGGCTGGTAGACACAGGTGAGAACCAACCCCACCGGCCAGAACCGGGAGCGGAGGCAGCCTCTGACACAGGCTTTCTCCCTTCCCCCCAGGTCTTGTTCCAGAACCTGCCTTCAAAGTCACTTAGTTTGAGTTAGTTGTCCTGAGTAAGGAAGAGAGAAAATAAAATTATTTGTTTTGAGATGTGGATTTCCATATAATCATGGCGGAAGGGGCTGTGAGGTGGGTCCTTGTAGGGGGAGAAACAGGAGGGAGGCGTATGTAAGGACATCAGGCTGCGATCTAGAAAATGTCCAGAGAGGGGATGTCTGAGGAGGTGAGGTCTGTTCCTTAAGCAAAGCCACATCTGGATGGGCAGTCAGCCCTCTGGCTTCTGGGATTCAGGAGAAAAGATTGCACGCGTCATGTTTCCCCCCCTAGGAATCCTCGTGCTCAGAGGACTTGGCCCCTGAGCTTCCCACCAGGGGTAGTGAAGTGGACCTGAGGAGCTTGACATTCCTAATGATGCGATGACTTGTGGGCAGAGGCTAAGAACGGGGAGTGTTTTATTTTGAAGGGGTGAACAGGCCTAGGACCTTCTGAGGAGGTCCCCACCTTATGCACACGCCCATTTCCCAAGAGGATCTAAGGGTCACTATGGCCACAGAGTGGGACTTGGGGGCCTCTTGCTGAGGAGTCTTAACTGTGTTCTATCAACACCCCCACACTTCAGCCTGAGGTCAAAGGGAAAACCTTTTGACGCCGACCCCCGTCTTGTGCCTGGCACCAGGCAGTCCTTGTTTGGCAGAGGGAGGTGGGAGTCTCCTTGGGCTCAAAGGAAAGAAAGGCTTCCAACTGGGGTGTGTGTGTGGGGCGGGGATCAGGATGGAGGACCCCAAGGGTCAGCGGCTTGGGTACCAACGCAGGCAGGACACTGGGTTCTAGAAAGATATCCTTACTCAGTACTTATCCTCTAGAGCACTGACCCTGCAGCCACTTTCCTTTTAGGAAGCAAGACCTAACGTGTTTGGGGATAGGGCTCTGGGAGGAAGGAGTGCCCGTGGCCAGACCACCCTGAAGCTTTGCTGGAGGAGGCAGCTCACACGGCAGGGTGTGGTAGGCAGGCTCAGGAACTCTGGAACTGGGCTGGCCATGCTTTGATCTGGGTGCCCCGGGCTTCCTGAAGATGCCTGCACAGACCACTGCGTCTTTAACCCTTTACCTGTTCTTCATCTGTGCCTGCTCCCTGATTTATTCCTCGCCTGCCAGTTCAGGTCACCTTCTCAGCCAAGTGTCTACTTGTCAGGGGAAGCGGGTGGCCTGAGCCAGCCTTCTCCAGATAGACCTCCTCCTCCTGGATCCACGCCCCTTGTCCTTGGCAAGACTGAGTCCCTCTCTCGGTCTCTTGGAGGTATAATATGGGCAAGATCTCATCAGATGAGGAGACAGAGAATTCCAGATGACTGAGATGGGATCACTGCCTGAGGCTCCCTGGGCTGGGAGAGGCAGAGCTATGATTCAGGATCCTGCCTGCACTGACCCCAACACCACAACAGGGGGGGCAGCTGAGATGTAGAAAGAACAGCTGCTCCTGTTAAACAAAGCTGCCCCAGTCCAGGCCTGCTCCTGCAGGTGACCCTGCGGGCGGGCAGACCGGGAAGAAAGAAACAGAAGATGGCAGAGAAAAGCAATGGGGATTGACCCCATCTTCATCCTTCTGTTCGGGAGGGAGGAGTGGGAGAAGACACCCAAGTACCTTCCCCCTCCCCTTCCCAAAAGGCTGGGAGGACCTGCCTGGGCAGCATCTTGAAAGGGGGAATTGTCCTCCTGATCCAGCCCAGCATCTGTGTTATGTGTACACACGTGGGGGCCTGCATCCTCCACTCCAGCTCTCTGCACCTCCCCCACAGCCGACACAGACACTTTCCCCGTGTCTTCAAACCCGCCCATAGTCAACATCTGGTCTACATCTGTCTCCAGCTGCCTGGACCCCCATCCCAGTGGGTTCTCCCCCTTCAGGGGGCTATAGAGCAGAACAGGAGCTCAAGGCCTCCTCTTGGCCTCAAACAAGCACCCTTCCAGGGCTAGGAACCAGGGCAAGGGGGGGGGGGGGGTGGCCCCACCCCGGAGGTGCCCCGGGCTCTTGGCAGAGCCATCGAGAGAGAGCGGTTAGAAGCAGCTGCCAATGACTCATCTCCCACTGCCCCCACCCCACCACCTCAAACACACCCTGGGGCTGGGAACTTCCCATTTTCTTTTATTTATACAAAAAAAAAATTAAATATAATTTAAGAACCCCTCCAAGCACCAGTGTCTGTCTCTGGTTTCTACGGCCGCCTTGCCCCCCCCCCCTCATGGACATAATTTGGGGATACTGGGTGGGGCAGGGGTCTCGGGGCTGTGGCGTGACCAAGGCACTGTTCTGAAAAGAGACACAATAATGGGCTCCTGTTTCAACGTGGGCAAAGGAGGTGATGACAAAACAGGTCCCTTCCGACACAAAAAGTTATGACATGGACAGTAAAAAAAAAAAAAAAGAGAGAGAGAGAAGAAAAAAATAAGACCAAAAACAAAAATTAAAACTCAAAAACCTTCAATATGAAGGCAGCAGCTGGGGGAGGGGCATTTACAAGGGAAAACTGAGTTCGGGGGAGACAGCAGCGAGGTTGGGACATCCGGGTCCAATGGTTTTGTCACTGGGCCACGACACCCTTCCCGCTTCCCACTATGGTGCTCCACTCCCAAGCTTACAGGCTTGTCACCCTCTTCTCTTTGGTCTACAGGGTCTGCGGCCCTTCCTGGTGAAGAGGGGCCCCGGGGCCCTGACTGGAGATCAAAGGGAAGCTGCAGGGATTGCACACAGCCACCCCGGGAGTTGGCAGATTATGGGCACTTCCTTCCCCTCTGGGCACACCCACCCTCGGGGAACACCCACCCTCGGGGAACTTTATTTCTACACTCCCGTATGGCAGAATCCCCAAATGCTGACTCTCCACATTGCCAGCTCCCCACCCCCATAGGTTCAAAGTGCAATCCAATGGGGTGCAGGGATGGGGGCCTCTTGGGTCCCCACCTGACTCTGCCCCCAAGAGGAGAGCGGTGTCCCCAGCATGGGGATTCCTGCTGCTCCAGAGCTGTGGGGCCCGGTGAAGAGGTGCAGGTCAGTACTGGGAGGCTGGTGCTCCTGACGCCCCTGGGGCTCCAGGTTTGGCCTGGGACTTCATGTGCTGGACACTGGCCAGGATTTTCTTCTGGTGTCCCGCCAGGGTGACTCCTATTCGGAGCAGGTCCCTGAGGAAGGAGAGAGTTAGGTGAGGCCATAAGGCTGCTGGGACCACTCTCCTATCTTAGCTCCAGAAACCTGGTCACCGTCCCCGGATTGCCAGCCAATCAGGAAGGCCATCGGGAGACTGGGGTGGGGGTGGGGTGGAGGAGGGAAGGAGGGGAAGGGTCACACGTGTTTTGCAGGATTTAGGAGCTAGGCTGCCGTCCAGCGCGGCCCCAGCAGGGTACCGGACTTAAGTATCCAGCAGGCCCCTGGCCTCGGGGTCTAAAGGTGGGAGGTTGCGGGGCGGGGTCTGCCTGGATGGAAGCTCCAGCGAGGATTAAGGCAGAGAATCAGAAAAGGAAAGAAAGGCCCACAAAATGGGGGAAGGAGATGCACAGATTGCTTTAGAGGAGAAAGGAGCCGGCAGAAGGAAAAGGCCGGAGAGGAAGGGCTGGGTGGAAAGGAAAGGGAAGGGAAGGGGGAAAACAAACTGCCTCCCCACTCCATCCTGAGGCCTGGAGACTGAGATAAGGGAAAAAAGAAGAGGTGGGAAACAGAGAGCTAGAACCTGTGTCAAGGAAAGGTTGGAACAAGTTTGTGAGGAGAGGAGAGGACCCAGCCCCGATGGGGCAGACCGGCCTGCGATCTGCCCCGCCAGGGAGAGGGCCTCCTGGACCCTCTGATTCCAGATTTCTATGTCTCCTATTTCTGTTATTCAGATATGGGGCCAGAAGAATCCTTGGGAGAGAAATGGGAAGGCAGAAAGGAGAAATATCAGAGAGAGTCAAACTAAGGGGGGGGAAAGTATTTGGGAAGCGTTGAAATAAAACTATTTAACATTAAAGCTGGAAAGGTTCTCCAAAACCTAGTCCAATCTTCTCCTTTTATGGGTGGGAAAACATCCAAAGTTGACACGTTGTTAATGTGAGAGCAGGGTCTGGAATGCAGAGAGATGCACAAAGATAGATACAGATTGCCAGGCAGGGAGCAAAAGGACCGAGGGCTGACATGGTGCGAGAGGTGAGGCGGGCACGGCTGGCCTGGAAGATTCCCTGGGCATTCCGCCCCAGCAGCTGTTATTGCTTTCCTAGAAAAGCTGGCACCAGGAGTTGACCCCAAAGGCCCCTGATGAACCAGCGCGCTGGATTCTGGTCCCCAGGTGCCCTTCGGGCTTGGCTCTACCCCCCCCCCCCCCCCCCCCCCCCGCTTCCAGCTCCAGCCATGACTTACTCAGCGGAAATCTGGCTGACCAGCTCGAAGGAGCCAAACCCAGCAGCTGCAAAACTCTCTTCGTATCTTCCCATTTTGATGGCCCGGAGCCACTCACCCACAGAGCCAAAAGCTGAGTAGTGAGGCTGCCGCTGATCCAGCAATGGGTGTGAGGCCCTGGAAGGCAGGATGGGGGGATGCTCTGAGGACTAGGGCTGTGTCAGGATGTCGACAACAGTGAGCCCAGCTTTGGAGAGGCAGCCAGGGACAATCCCACATACCCACAAAGGAACACACTTTTCTTTGGAGATTTTGGGAGGGTGGGAGGGAGGAAGGGCGTGGCAGAGTGCAGCAAGGAGGGCCCATTCTTAGGAGTCCTCACCCGCCATTCTCTCTGGCCACGATTTTGAGGCTGGCAGGGTTCCGAATCATCTTGTCGAGGGCACTGACCACCTGGGGGAAGCGAGGCCGTGCGTTCCGGTCCTTCTGCCAACAGTCCAGCATGAGCTGGTGCAGGGAGGTGGGGCAGTCTGGGGGAGGGGGTAGCCGGTAGTCCTGTTCAATGGCATTGATCACCTAGAATGACAGGAGAACTGGGTGAGGATGTCCTGGGAGGACGAGGATGCTAAGGACCTTAAGGAAATGGTGACTTAGCAGATGCTTGGATGGGTGCGACAGCGTTCCAGAATGGCAAATCTCGGGGGGTTGAGGCTGGCTCTGACTCAAAGCTCTAGCCACTCTTGGGCTGTGGTTCAGATGTGCAACTTCCCAACTGTGCCCTCCATCCTGTGTCCTGTGACCAAACATGCTCTTGGCCACAAAGATCAACTCTTCTTTGTGCTACTCTCATCATCTCAAGGACGCAGCAGGGATGAGCTCTCTGAGAATCCCGTCCCCACCCATGTCCCTGGTGGGAACATTCAAGAAAACACAGTAGGGTCCTGGGGACACTTACATCTTGATTGCTCATATCCCAGTATGGCCGCTCCCCAAAAGACATGACCTCCCACATCACAATCCCGTAACTCCAGGCATCGCTGGCAGATGTGAACTTCCGGAAGGCAATGGCCTCAGGGGCAGTCCATCGGATGGGAATCTTTCCTCCCTAAAGATGAGGAAAGCAGAGATGAGCTGAGGGACCCAACCACTCTATCCGTCTTTGCTTTTCCCCTAGCCCAGATCTCCTTTCTTCCTGGGACCCAGCTCCCAACGCAATTCTCTTCCCACACAACCAGAAGTCAGATTCCCTAAGCGGATCCCCCCACTTCTGTGGTCTGCTCCTTCATCCTGTCCCTAGATCAGAGCTGTCAACCCCTCAGTCTCCTACCTGTTCCTGCCCACCTGGCCCTAAGAACCTAATTCCTAGGTCAGCCCCTCGGCCTCACCAGAGAGCTCGTGTAGGTGGGGTCAGAAGAGTTCTCCTCCAGGAATCGGGAAAGGCCAAAGTCTGAAACCTTGCAGACAAGGTTGCTGTTGACCAGGATGTTTCGGGCAGCCAGGTCACGGTGAACGTAGCTCATCTCAGCAAGGTACCGCATGCCTGAGGCAATGCCCCGTAACATGCCCACCAGCTGGATGACAGTGAATTGTCCGTCGTTCAACTGGAGACCAAGCAGGAGAGAGGGGCGTGGTCAGGGTAGTTCACTCTCCATTCCCTCTTCCTTCCACATTCTAAACGATATTTGCCACTTCAGATCCACCTCGTGTTCCCCTGCACAATAGGCCTGCAGACTTCCCAGGTAAGCCCTATTTCTTTCCTTATCCCAAGTTCTCTGAGCTCTTACTACACTGTCATAACACCATGCTTATAAAATGTTCCCGTTTCAAATATATACATTCATTCTCTTAATTAGGCTGGAAGGAGAGATTTAAATTTTTTCTCCTTTTAATCTCGTACAGTGCTTTATACCTGACATACTCAACAAATTCTTTTTATTTAAGAGCAACAGAGTTCTGCCCTACCCAGTTTGGCTCAGTGGAGAGAGCTGTATCCTGCAGACTAAAGAGTAACAGAGCTCTGACAAGAGTGTGCTGTGAGCTACCACACACTCTTGTGAGGCAAAATCTAGCTCAGCCTTCTTAGACTGAGTGTAGTATCAAGAGAGGAATCGAGGCACCATCAGCAACCACAGCATCAAAACCAGATCTAAACACTGTCCTTGACTTCTAGTTTGCTCTCACCAGGTAAACCAAGTAATCAGAAATGGTTAACTAATCCCATCTTCCGGGTTCAGCTAACATGCAGGGGACCCTCGGCAGCCCTGTAGGGCCAGGGACATCAGAGTCCAAAACAGAATTCTAAATCCATCCTCCAATCCTGAACATACCTCCGGCCTTGGATCTGTTCGTGGAAATACCACTTGCCAGATGCTTAGAGTATAGACCTCGGTGCTTCCACGATTTCTTCCTTTTTCTCCCCTCTCCTGCCACTTATAACCAATCCATCAGCAAGTTCTGCTGGCCCTGCTTCCAAAACATACCCCAAACCCAACCTCTTCTCTGCGCCCTGAGCCAACCCTCACGGCCTGAATGACAAGTCTCTTCACTGCTTCTTGGCTTCCTTCCACTCTTGTTCCCCAGCCAGTCTCCTACGGAAACTCCTCCAAAGACTGGCCCTTGAACTAATCTAATCCAAATTCCTGACCAAGGCCAAGAGGTCCATGTGGCAGGGCCACCACTTGCATTAAGGCCCACCAAAGTTCCTCTGCTCCCCAGGTTCAGCCTCGCCTGCCTTGCTGCTTCTTGTTGACCACTCTGGTCTCTGCTCTCTGCCCCAACACGATTCTTCCCCATCTTCTCAAGGCTGGCTCTTTCCCATTGACCAAATGCCATCTCTTCTAAAATAGACCCTCTTCCCCTCCCTGCAACAGGATCTCTCTCAGACACCAATGAAATAGACTCCTGTGTCCACAGGGAGAGTCAGGCCATCATCACACCACTCCAGGTCAACCTCATCATCACTCATGGAGCCAGGTGGCCGTGTCTCCTGATGGGGTGTCATGTGACATTCACAGCACCTCCAATGTAGGCTGGCCACCCATGTTTAATTTTGAACATTCAAAATATTAGACGTAGCTTCTCTTATGGGAAATATGGATAAACAAGCTAAATCACCCCACAGGGAAGAACCTGATAAATCTATAAGGTGAGACATTTAAGGGGACAAGTAGCCCAGTTCTTCAGCATGTCAGGCTCAAAAATGAGAACCATCAGGTATAATGTTTGCTCCTGAACTGCATGCTGGTTTGAATAAGCCAATAATAAGGGACATTTTGAAAACAACTGGGGAAATGTGGATATCGACTGAGTATTAGAAGATACCAGGAAATTGTAATTTGTTTAAATGTAGTGTTATTATTTTTCTAAATTCTCATTGAGGGTAGTTTTATTGATTTTAGAGAGAGGAAGGGAGAGGGAGAGGGAGAGAGAGTATTGATGTAAGAAACATTAATCGGTTGCCTCCCTTACGAGACCCTACCAGGGATTGAACCCACAACCTGGCCATGTGCCCTGACCAGGAATCCAACCTGCCACCTTTCTGTGTACAGGATGACTCTTCCACCAACTGAACTACACCAGCCAGGGCTAGATGTAATGTTATTTTGCTATGTAGGAAAACGTTTTGATTTCTTTTTTTAAGCAACGTAAAATTAACAAAATAATAAAATTCAGTAAAATCTGTTAAAGTGACAAAAATAACTCTTCCCCCTCATCTCAAGCCATTTTTCCATGTTCTTAATTGTTTTCACATCTGAAACTACTTGATTACTTTTTATAAAAGCTGGTTTACTCATTAATTTTCAGTCTTCCCCGTTACACTTCCCCAAGAGCAGAGATATTCATGGCTTTATTCCCAGGGCCTAGGACAGTAGCTGGAGCACAAGGAAGTGCTCAGAAAATATTTGTCAAAAGGATGGATGAGCCCTAACTGGTTTGGCTCAGTGGATAGAGCGTCGGCTTAAGGAGTGAAGGATCTCAGGTTCAATGCCGGTCAAGGGTAGGTATCTTGGTTGTGGGCACATCCCCAGGAGAGGGTGTGTAGGAGGCAGCTGATCAATGTTTCTCCCTCATCAATGTTTCTAACTCTCTATCCTTCTCCCTTCTTCTCTGTAAAAAATAAATATATTTAATAATAATAATTTTTAAAAAAAGGATGATGACCCCTTAATAGCCCAGGGCCAGAGGCTCCACAGAGAGGCCAGTTCCACCTGAGGCCTAAGGAACTCAGCCCTCCCTAAAGGAGAAGGAAGGGTGAAGAGGGAGTGATGTGGAACCCACCAGCTGTCCTGGGTTCTGAGCCCCTTGGCTGCTTTGGGGGAGCATAGGTGGACTTGGGAGGCTGGAGGCAGGGAACTCACCCGCAGGAAGGAGTCTAGGGCACCGTTCTCCATAAACTCAGTAAGAATCATGACTGGCATGCTGTTGGTAACCACGCCCTCCAGACGGATGATGTTGGGGTGCTCGAACTGGCCCATGATGGAGGCCTCGCTCAGGAACTCACGCCGCTGACGCTCTGTGTAGCCACCCTTCAGGGTCTTGATGGCCACGCAGCTCTCCTTCTTTCCCGGGGCCTTCAGTCGCCCCCGGCACACCTCCCCAAACTCCCCTTCAGGAAGGATGCCAAGAGTCAGCTCTTCTCCTGGTCTGGCCCTGCCTTCCCTCCCCGCCCCATTTCCCTCCTGGGCGTCCAATCCTCTTGCCTCTCACCTGCACCAATCACCTCCTCAATCTTGACATAGGAGACGTCGATCTCTTTGGCAAATTCCCTCACTGCTTCATTAGGGTCTTCGTACGTGAAGGGATCGATGTAGACCTTAGTACCTGAGGAATCATGCGGGCCCGTTAGCCAAGAAACTTCTTGCACTCAGATACCCTCGTTCTTGGCTCACAGCCTTGCCCCAGCCCTGTTTCCTTGAGGGTAGCCTACTTACCGTGGCCAATGAGATACTGTCCGTGTTTATCTGAGTATTCAGCTTCTCTCCCACTGCTCTGCTTCCTAGAGCCAATGGGAACGAAAAGGTAAACTGAGTCACATATCTATGCTTCCAGAGGGACAGGATGGGAAGAGAGGAGCGGGGATCGAAAAAGATTCCAAGTGGAGATGGGCTCTGGGGGCATCCAAGGAGGCTTGCCCTGGAGAAGAGGGCAGGTTTCACAGGGGCCTCTCTGGTGCCCAGAGCACTTACCTGAGGCAAAGGACTGCGATGACAATAACCACCAGAACCAGCACCACACCCACGACCGCAGTGCCTGCGATCAGGGCCAGCTGCTCCCGCCAGCTCTCCTTTTCTGGGGAAGAAAAAACGTGATCAGGCAGACCCGATGACCACCGAGGGCCCTGCACCAATTGAATGAGCTGTGGTTCCTCTGAGAACAGTGTGGCAGGACAGGGAGGGCGAAGGAGAGGCAGGGTGGGGGACAGTGGGATTTCCAAACTGCTTCTCATGGGCTGTGGATCTGGCTCTACAGAGCCCCTCAGGGCAAGGGAGGGAGCTTTCAGCCTTATTACTGCCAGGGTGGGTTTGATCTTGTTCTGTTATAAATACTGGTGGACCAAAAAAAGTCCCATTTGAATGAAAGTTTCCAAAGGCTAAATAAAAATGAAAGGGTTTATACCCCCAAAGTGGAAATAACCCAAATGTCCATCGATGGGTGAAGGAATAAATAAAATGTGCCACAGCCACGCAGTGCAATATTTCTTAGCCATAAAGGAAATGAATCCCTGATACATGCTAAAATATGGATGAAATCTTGAAAACATTATAAGTGAAGGAAACCAGTCACAAAAAAACATATATTGTATGATTCCATTTGTATGAAATGCCCAGAACAGGCAAATCAGAAAGTAGATTCGTATTTGCCAAGGCCTGGGGGGGAAGAGGAGGGAAGATGAAAGGGGAATAGGGTCTTTTTTGGGGGTGCTGAAATGTTCTAAAATTGTGATGGTTGCACAACTCTGTGGGTATACTAAAAGTCAACGAATTAGACACTAGATGGGTGACGTGTCTGGTTTGTGAATCATCTCTCAATAAAACTGTTTAAAAAATTAAAACCCTGGGCCAGCATATTATAACTAACAGCTGTCATCTTATTTATTCCCTGGAGCCCTGTGAGAGAGGAGCCCTGTGAGAGAGGCCTCATATTTCCATTTTTTGGGGATGAGAGAGCTGAAACTCAGGGATTAAGTTTTTGCTAATGGTCACACAGTGGAGGGAAGGTTGCTAAGCAGCTCTTCACACTCCACTGTTGGCTTGGGTTTCTGACCCTCTGCTCTCTTCACCAGCCCAAAACACCTCTCAGTTCAGAGAAAGAGGAGCATGGGAATGTGGCTTTGGGGGCCCTTCAGGAACAGCACCCCCTCCTATGCCTGGTCCCAGGCTTACCATCCAGCTGGGTCTGGCTATGGTGCTCCTGGCCGAAGGGTCCATAGCCAGCCTCGGAGCGGGCCCGCACCTGGATCAGGTAGCTGGCTCCCCGCTTCAAGCCATGCAGCTCTGCCCTGTTGTCTGACGTCTTCAGGAACCGGACGCTGCTGGGGCCCTCTGCACCCTGCCCAGGCGGAGGAGGGGTTGGCCATAAGCACAGGCCCCCAGTTTCCGCTGCTCTTCCGACCTCCCCCTGCCCTGCACCCCCACGATGAGCATCCTGGTCTTGTAACGTAGCAGGCCAGGCCTCTGTGCTGACTTATGTGCACTGTGCTGAGCGTTTGCATTCACTGTCTCATTTAATAGTCACGTGACAAGGCAACTCTATTACGGATGGGGATGCTGAGCTCAGAAAGGCCCAGGGGCTGGCCCAAGGGCTCACAGAGCTGGAATCCAAGTGTCTGCAATCCATGCTTAGAGCACGTCGCACCGCCCTCCCACCCCCACCCCCAGCGGTGATGCCTGGTCTCACCTTCTCGTGGTACTTGACCTCATAGTCCAGCACCGCTCCGCTGGGTGCCCGGGGAGCAGCCCAGGCCAGGCTCAAGCTGCTGGGTGAGGACCGAGTCACCCGGATGTCGGACACTGGGGGTGGCACTGTGAGAGACAAGGCATGTTGGGGCTCTTCCACTAAGCATGTTGGTCCCTTACCTTTCCCGATGCTTCTGCTGGCTACACCTGTCCTGATCCTCCAGATGCCCCAAGAATCCCTTCCGACTTCTATCCTCCATTCTCCAGCCCGCCCTGCATCTTTTCCACTCTCTTTCTGCCTCTTGCGCCCAGAGCCCTGACGCTCCAAACTTCCTGGGGATCCCGCTCCATAGCCTCTGCCTTTCCCCGCTTCAGACCTCGCTGGCTGCTTCTACCCACCACCATCTCTCCCATCTGACCACAGGCTGCCCCCGGGCCCCAGGCTCACCCTCACGGTCAGTGGTGACATTCACAGCCTCAAACGGCACGGGTACGGTGGCTACGGAAGACACCCCGTTCAAGGCAGTGACCTCAAAGGTGTAGGTGAAGTCAGGCCGCAGCCCTCGAATGGAGACCCAGGGCTCCACCAGATCCCGGGGGCCAGGGTCGAAGGTCAGGTCTCCTCCACAGGGCGCGCAGGACCCCCCGGGGCGGCACTCGCGGCAGCGGAGCGCGTAGGTGAGGTCCTCCCGCCCACCTGACTCGAGGGGGGCACTCCACTCCAGGCGCAGGGAGGAGCCATTTAGGCGGGAAACCACGCTTCTTGGAGCCGAAGGAGGGGCTGCAGGAAACCAGGAAGTCAGTCAGAGGCTGAGCAAATGGAAGGGGTGGCTAGTGGGACAGTCACCAATTTAGCTGGGCACCAGCAAGCCAGGGTCAAGAAGGGGAAGGCCTGGGAAGGTGGAGGCTGGAATGGGGGTCCTCCCCAGGGATCACTGGCCACTTACTGGTACAGGGTGCACCCCGAGGGTCTGTGCTGGCCCGAAAGTACCCTATACGGCAGTGGCAGATGGACGAGCCAATGGTGTTGGAATGGCTGTTGGCTGGGCATGGCTGACAGGACCCCTCCCCAGGCAGAGGCTTGAAGGTGCCCTGGGCACAGGCTGAAAGAAAGCAAGCATTCAATAACCATGCATTAAAAAACATGCAGTTTACCCTGGCTAGTGTTGCTAAGTGTTTAGAACATTGGCCCAGGGACCAAAGGGTCTCAGGTTCGATTCCCCATCAAGAGCAATTGCCTATACATTCCCTGGCCCTGGTAGGGGCACATGTGGGAGGCAACCAGTGGATGTCTTTCTCTCACATCAATGTTTTTCTCCTCACCCTCCTCCTGCCTCCCTCTCTTCCACACTCAAACAAACAAACAAAAAAACACGGAAAAATATCCTCAGGTGAGGATTAGTGACAACAAAAAAACAGGCAGCTGCTTTTAAGTCTGCATGAAGTGCAAAGAGGGAAAACAGGGCAGGAGCTCAGAAATCTCACATCTAAGAGAGGGAAACCTCTTCCAGACCAGGGATTAACCCTGATACCCGCAACCCAGAGACCAAGGCTCATAACAACAATTTTAAATGCACACTGCCAAAACACGCTGGATTACAAAGTAAATCAAGTGGAAATATGAAGAAAAGTTTGTGACACAGCAATGTGTATACTTCTTTCTTAGCAAGATAGAGTAGCCGATCTAACAGCCACTGTCATACTGAAGTGGTGAGGAACACACACAGCATTTGACATTCTTGCACCATCTGTCAAGATGGGTTGTGAAAATAGCCAGGAACCATAATGAACAAGGGCAGAGACCATGACACCTTGGTCCTCTGAGCCCAATAAGGTCCTGCATCCCTGGATATCCTCCCTGGTCCAGAACAGAGCGGACACAGGAAGAATGTGGACGTGAGGAAGGTTGAGCTATGCTGGGAATGGGCAGGGGAGGGAGAGAGGCTCTCGAGGAACTGAGTGCCTAGGAGAGCAAAGAATGTTCCAAGTGAAAATTCAAACAGTGGTCCAAGACCAGGGTCCAGGACCTTCCCCACAAGGATTGGCAGCACCTTCTCGGGGACATGCCAGCTCTCACCTCGGCACCTGGTATTCCCCTCGGTGGCCTCGAACCCCGGAGCACAGCTGCAGCCCGTGACCGGCTGCTCAGCCCACTGGCCATCCTCCCGGCAGTAGAGGCTGGGACTGGGGCCAGAGGCAGGGACGGCATCAGCCACACAGCTTCCTGCCACTGGCACCACAAGCTCCCGGGGCACTGTCTCTGGGAAGTGGGTGAGGTTGACAGTCAGCTGGGCACACTTCTTGTAGAACAGGTGCAGGGACAGCAGGGCCATGCAGGCGCCCTGGTCCTGGAAAGCCAGGTAGAAGCCGGCTTTGGTGAGCGGGCCCAGACGCAGCGTCTTGACGTTCACTTTGCCAGTTGCCTCGGCCCCAGGACGCTTCCGGGTCAGATGCTCAGCAGCCACCGTGTCTACCTGCCGGGTCCGAGAAGAGACTCAACTGCTGCTGTGCTCCACTCCCAAGGACCGTCTTCCTCTTCCTAGCTTATCCTTCCGCAGACACTTGCTGAGCTCCTAGGATGTGTCCACACTCTGTCCGGCACTCCCCCCTTCTGTTCACTCACTCACCTACAAAAACTTGTCACCACGCAAAATGAGTCTCTACCCTATGCCAGGTCCTGAACTCAGCGCGGAGGAAACGGAAATGAAGGAAACATGGATATGTTGTTGTACAGTATGAGGCGGGCTATGACAGGTGGGACCCCACAGCGGGGCACCTCAGCAAAGGTACCCAAAGGAGCTGGAACTCAGAAGACATCGGAGGTGGGAAGAAGAGGCAGAAAGAAGCCATTCCGGGGTGAGGGGTAGGGAAATAAAGGGCGAGTGCAGGATGGCCTACGTACAGGAGAGACCAGATGCCTGGGGATGGAGAACCTCCTCTGGCGGCCAGGCCGGCAGCCCAACGGCATGCTGCGGCGCCACCGAGCAGACCACCTTCTTCCCTTCCAGACCTGAGGCTCCTGCTCCCAGTACCCCAACCAAGGGCCTTGGAAGTTCCCCGCCACCTGCCCCTAGACCACAGGCCTGCCCCACCCCGGCCCGTGGCCGTGCCCTGAGCGGGTACCTTGATGTAAGGGTTCTCCATCCAGGCTGGCGTGTGGGCGGTGGCCGTGTTGGCGTCACTCTCGAAGTAGAAGACTGTGAAGGTCTCCTTGCAGGAGCGCCCCGCGCTGGGCAGGGACAGGCACTCGAGCATGGTGAAGCGCAGCGTGGCGTACACGTGGACAGCGCCTCGCCGGGGGACCCAGCCTGTGCGCAGCCAGTAGGCCAGGCCCGGGGCTCGCTGCACATCGCACACCTCATAGGTCCTGACGCTGTGCTGCTCCTCATCCAGGCCGCTCAGCTCCTCCCACTGCGGGCAGAAGGGGTCAGCAGAGGGGCTGCTGAACGGCTAAAAGGTCAGGGGCAGGGTGTTCGTCATCGAGCAGGAATGGCGAGGGAAGGGGACCTCTGAGAGCAAGAGTGCAGAGGACACTAGTTCCTGCTGCTGTGGCCTGGGGGGCAGTGGCCTGGGGGGCAGGCCAGCATGGGTGCTACTCGTCCTTCCGTTTCCCTTCTGAACCCCAGCTCCTGGGCCCAGCTCTTACCTGCCCGTCCACCTGAGGAAACGTCACCCACTTCAAATCGGCAGTTTCCAGTTTTGTGTTCAGTAGAGTCTCTAAGACAGACAGACAGAGCCAGTCAGGGCTTAGGGGACACACAGGGAAGACCAGATGCCTGGGAACGGAGATAGTGGGGGGCCTCCCAGCAGCTCCAAGCTGGAGGAGTCAGGCAGGCTGAGACAAGAGACGAGGAGGGGAGTGAGCCTTGCCTTCCCACTTCTTGCCTCTTTTTCTGAAGGTTTAGCCCACACCTAACAGCTGGTAGGTCGGCTGCCCTCTTAGGACTCCCAGATCTAGTATGGCAGTTCCCTGGAAGATAGGGGAAAGTGCAACCACTGGAAGAGGGAGAAGAGGGAGAAGAGCAAACAGGTCAAAAAGGATCAAACTAGAGCCCCAACCTGGCCTTGACCTTGTGGTGAGCAAAGGGCTGCTGGCATGGGGACACCCTTTCAGGGCTGGGGCCTCCAGGGTCAATGCCTCAGTCCCCAAGGTGCTGCCTCCCTGCCCCCAACTCTATTCCTCTTCCATGTCCCCACCCCTTTTGAGACCCAACACTCAGATCCAGGAAGGTGGAGCTCAGCTACTGAGGCCTAGCCAGAACCCCGACTCCCTCCCCTCCCTTCAGCTCACTGGTGTCAGAGGAGGAAGTGCTGGAGGCTGGGATGCTTGGGTTCTCGCCCTGGCCCCAGCCTGCAGAGGCCTCACATCTGGATTTGGTTATGGGGAGGAAAAGGGGAGGAGACTGTAGGGGTGTGTGTCTGCGGGGTGGTGAACACACCTGGCTCAGCTCAGCCTGGGGGAGGGACTCCAGAGAGGGGTGGGCCTCCGGCGGAAGCTGTGGATTAGGGGAAACTGCACAGGCCCTGGCAGCTTAGGGTGGAGGGAAGGTAGGGGAACCCCCTCGGAGGCCAAGGCAAGGTGGACAGACGGCCCCTAGGGCAGCCAGCAGCACCCCTGGGACCAGGTCCCCACTTCCCAACTCGGGGGCTGCTGGAGAGAAGTGAGGGCAAGTGGGTGAGGCAACCTCTTCCCGGGGACCGAGTGATACCACCTAGGCAAGCGATTAGGTGGGACTGGCCAGCCCAGGTAAGGCCCAGGCCCCCATGAGTGGAGAGAGACAGTCCAGCATGCAGGGGACAGGATGCCAGGGTTCTGGGAAAGGGGTGGATAGAGGCTGCCGTCTCCACCCTCCATTGTTCCAGCCTGGATAGTGTTTTCCTGTCTCCAATTTACACGCTGTTTCAGGGCTGTCCCTGTGCTCTGAGTGGCTCACTTTCTCTGGTTTGGCCTCCTCCCTGGAGCTCTCTTTTGATCTGTTAGTTCTTTTGCCTCTCACCTCTCCCCAGCTCTCTGTCCACCTCCATTTCTCTAGCCATTTCTCTAGCCATCTCTCCCCTCTTCCGTCTCTCACTTTCCACCCAGCCTAGGCTAGGATAAATCAGTGAACTCCTCTAAGCCTCAGGCTCGTCTTCTGTAAAATGGGAGAACAATCCCTCCCACCCTCAAGGCTGAGGGAACCATGAAAACATAAAGCCCTCAGCGTGGGCCTGGGGCCTCGAAAGCACTTCACAACAGCAATCAGAAGTGACTCTCTTTTCCTCTCTGCATTTTTCTTTTCCTCTCCCTCCACTTCACCCGCGGGTTTCCTCTCCACTCTGCTTTCCTTTCTCTCCCAGTCTTGCTCCTTCTTTCTTTGAGAGGGCCGGACCAGGCTTCCCTCTCCCCGTTCCCAGCCTTTGATCCCCAGCTCCGAGCAGCACTGCCCAGCCTGATTCCTCCTCCTCAGCAGCCTCCCTAAAACCCCCTCCCCAAACACCCCTTTGATTCCAGTGAAAAGGGGGGGGGGGGGAGGTGCAGCTCATTGAAAGGAGATTAGGAGGGTTTATAGGGCTCTTGGTTCCCCTCTAGGAGGTGAAGGAAGGGGAGAGGCTCATGGATGAGGAAAGTTTGGGTGAGAATATAGAAAAATGAGGAATTCAGAGAGACGAGGAGGTAGGTGGCCATCAGGCTGAGTCAGGACGAGAGGGGCTGCACAGGGCAGTTTCTGCTGGCCTACAGGGTTGGAGGGAAGCCAGCTTGTCTAGGACTTGGGCAGGGCTGGGGGCTAGAGAGAATTTAAAGGACTGGGGGTGCAAGCTGGGGGAACCAGGCAGGGGGCCTCTCTGTGGCTGGGGTCGTGGCTTTGGGAGATTTGTTCAGAGTGTGAGTGCAGAAGGTGGCCATCCCGACAGAGGCGTGTGAAATTGTAGGCTCAAGGTGTAAATGCCAAGGAATGAGGGGTGGGGGCGGTCTCTGGCCTAGCACAGAATTCTGCCTTGTCTGCAGTTGTTTCTCCAGAAACCTTCCTTTTTCTTTTTTTTTTTCTTTTTTCTTTTTTTTTCCCGAGGCGAGAAGAGGATCAGAAACTTTGAAGAAAGTTTTGAAGGTTGGCGTAGGGAGAAAAGGAAAGGCCGCCCAGGGCGCCTGAAGTCAGAAGTGAGAGTTCGGGGAGCCCGGGCAGGGGGACGTCCCAGGACGGAGCCCGACTCCATCTCTTTTCCAAACAAAAGAAAACTCCACTCCCCGCTGGGCCGCCTCCTCCCCGCCCCCCGCCCGGGCTAGTACCATTGGTCCGAAGTGTTGGGGTTGAGGTGCCGGGAAGGGGTAGGGAGAGGTCGGCCCCTCCACTCCGAGGCCCAACTTTGGGGGCCCCGGGAGCGGCGGGATGCCGCTAAGGAAACTCACCTTCCAAAGCGGCTGCGAGGGAAGCCCAGCAGAGCAGAGCCCGGAGCTCCATGGCGCCGCCTCACTCCGGTCGGATCCGATCTGGGTGTGGGGGGCGCCAGCCCCCCCAGTTCTGAGCCCTCCCTCGGAGCGGGTAGAGGCCGACTCCCCGCGCGGGACTCTCGGCCGGGGCCTCAGCGCAGGCCCATGCGGGCGCGCCGGGCACCGGGCGGCGGCGCCCAGGTGCGGCCCCGCGTCCCCACCGCGCGGGCTGGCGGGGGGCGTCCTCGCAGGGGACGCGCCGGGCGGGAGCGGAGAAGAGACGTGGCTGGAGTCGGGGTCCCTCCGGGGCCTCGGGGTTCCGCCCCAGCTGGCGGGGGGGTGGGCCTGTCTCGCGCTCCCTAGCCCCCTCCCTGGAGTGGCTCTGCTCGCGCTGCGGGGCGGACTGCGCTGCGCGCCGGCGGGCGGGTGGCAGCGGAGCGGGAGGGAGGGAGGGAGGCTGCGGACGGGGCAGGACCGCGGGCTGGGCTGCCGGGGCCGGGGCCGGGGCCGGGGCCGGGACTGGGCCGGGCGGCGCCTGGCGGAGGGAGGAGGGAGGGGCGCGCGGGAGTGGGGAGCCGCCCCCAGCCCGGGCTCGGCCTGGGGGGCCGGGGCGCGCTGATTGGATGGCGCGCTGCTGAATAATTCATGAGGGGAGCGGAGCGGGGCGCCGAGCGCGGCGGCTCGGAAAGTTGGGAGAAAGTTTGGAGAAGGGGGAGGGGCGGAGGGCGCGGAGCCCGGGACCGCCCCGCAGTGCGCTGGGCTGGGTGCGCTCCAACCCTGAGCTCGCGCGTCCGGATGGGGGCCTAGGGACCCCGGGACAGGCCCCAACCCGGCGGACCCGGGAGCGGAGCAGCACACCCTGCGGCGCGGAGAGGGCCCCCCGCCCCCAGGTGCGCATTCTTTTCTTGCGGACTTTGGATTCTTCTGGATTAGCCCGCTGCCCCCTAGTTGGCGCAAGGGACCGTGTTCGAGGGAAGCTTTTGAGGATGGAGGGTGGCCCTGGGAGCCTGGAGGCTGTGATTTCAGCTTAGATCTCATCTTAGATAACCCTGGAGTGGACGTTCACACAATCATTCAACAAACTGGAGCCGAGACCGGTTTGGCTCAATGGATAGAGCGTCGGCTTGGGGACTGAAGAGTCCCGGGTTCGATTCCGGTCAGGGGCATGTACCTTGGTTGCGGGCATATCCCCAGTAGGGGGTGTGCAAGAGGCAGCTGATCAATGACTCTCATCGATGTTTCTAATTCTCTATCTCTCTCCCTTCCTTTCTGTACAAAATCAATAAAATAAATTTAAAAAAAAAACAACAACAGGGGACTTACTATGCACTCAGCCTAGCACTGACAAGTGCGGGGAGGAAGTGGGGCAACTGGGTTGAAATGGGGAGGAACACAGAAAAGTCTAGGAAGCCAGGGTAGATAAAAGGTAGGTGGGTCTGAGCGGGTAAGGGGTCCTGGTGGATTCCCAGCTCACCGTCCTCACTCTCACTGTCGAGTTTGGGACGGCTCTGCGCCACCCGTAGCCCTGACCCTTGGGGCTGGGGCCGCGGCTGCGGCTGTCTTTCCTGAAGCTGTTTCCTGTCTGGCTCCTGGGGGGCCTCGGGATGGCTGGGAGGGCTCTTCCTCTCATTGCCACCACCCTCCCCCCATATCATCAGTTAGAGGGGAGGGTCTAGGAAAGCAGTGAACTTCCCACCAACCCCCTTTTGCATCAGGGCATCTAGTGTGAGTCGGGGGGTGGGGGGGAGAGGGGGGGAGTGGGAAGGTGCTGCAGGAGTCTTCCAGTGGAAGAACTAGGAGGCAAGGGCTTATACTCAGAAAATGTTTAAGGGGGACAGGGTCTGGAGGAGCTGCGGAGCCGAGAGAGAGGGAAGGAGGAGCCACGGATGCCTGGGGGCCTGCCAAGTGCCTCTTACACCCCAGAGGACAGCCAGGCCTCCAGTGACCTCTTGTCCCAGCTCACTTATCTTCCTGCCACAAGCGGTGCTCCCCACACCCTTGCCCTTCCTCGTTGCCCAGCCTGGGTCCTGCTCCGGGGTGGGAGGGTCACAAAGGGCAGGAAACAGCCGGCTTGCCTGGAGTCAGGCAGACCAGGCGGGGACTGGGAATACCACCCTCCTCCCTCCCTGATCTAAGCCGGCTCCTCCTCCAGGTTACACTCGCCCCTTCCATCACCTTTCCCTGCTTTTTCTCTGCACTCAGATTCTCTCCTCTAAAAGTTACGTCTCCTCCTGGGCTCTGCTTGGTCTTTCTCATTTGGTGATGGAGCGGAGGTGGGGGTGGTATGCCATTATGGATGAATCAGATTCATCATGGTGGGGTATGAGGTGTGCGTGGAGACCAAGATACACAGAGAAATGAGGGAGGGTGGAGTGAAGAGCTGATAAGACAGAGGGGGGGGGGAGGTGAAATCATGTAATAGCTCACCCTCACTGTAGACCTGAACCCTGTATTTCTGACCTCTGAGTACCAGACCCCTCCCCGCCTCAACTAGAGAGAAGAGATGATCTAAAGTAAGAAAATACACAGTAGATCCCATATCATTGTGTCCTCAGCTCCCTACCCCGAGCATGTAATAGTATATACATTAGTACCTAGTATATACACCAATAAAAGAATGAATATAATGAAACTTATGGAGCATCTACTATGTGACGGGTGATTTGCAAGATTTGTGAAACATAGCTTCTGGCCACAAAGATCTTATAATCTGGCAGAGATCCCATTACTTCCCCTTTTTCTGGAGATGATGGCTGAGATTTTCACTCCAATCAATGCTAAGAGAAATCACCCTTGGTCTATCCTGTAGGTGTGAGGTCATTTCCTCCAACCTCTCTGACAATCCAAGTCTACTTCCTAGGCAAGTTAATTCAGTGTCCACTATTACACAGGTGAGCAGCCATATCACTACCTAAACCAGCCCGAACAAATTTCAAGCCCTCCTTTCTTCATTATCAAAGCACTTAGGGCACTTCACTATCTTCCCACCCCAAATATGCTGCTGTCGTGTGTCGCCATGGCAATACCTAGGTGGAGCACCCTATCCCCCAGCAGCTCCCCACAGCTGGCAGGGCTTTCCTTTTGCTATCCACATCATTACAGTTTGTAGCAGTCCTGGAGTTAGAACTTTTCCTATGCATAGTAAAAAATACCTCACAACGGATCATCTCATTTCACCATATATTGTAGAAATTGTCACTCTTCTTTCCATATCCCAGCCCCCATCTCTGGCCCTATAAGCCTGATAAGTTAAACTTACCTGGAAGCGCTTGAAGTTTACCCTTCAGCAGCGCTCCCCTACCTCGCTCCTCCCAAAGCCCTGGTTAATGAGTGCCATCTATTTAAACAGTTTTTAAGGTGAGTCACTGCATGAGAACCTTTGAAATGGTCTGGAATCTTACACCTCTTGTAGGAAAGGAATTTGATAGAGGCTTTTCATCTCACCAATGATGAGCCAAGAGTTTTTATAAATTCGATAATGGGCCCTGGCCGATTTGGCTCAGAGATTACAGTGTTGGACCAAAAGGTTGCTGGTTCGGTTCCCAGCCAAAGGTTTCAGGGTTTGTCCCGGCCCCTTGTGGGAGGCAACCAATTGATGTGTCTCTCTCCTGTTAATGTTTCTCTCCCTCCCTTCTGTTAATTCTCCTCTCTTTAAAAAAATGTCCTTGGATGAGAATAAATAAATAAATAAATAAATAAATTCAATAATGGAAGGGAAAATGAAATTGTTCATATTAGAGAGAAGATAGATACAGAGAGAATAAAAAATAATAATACAAAATCATCATCAGATAGAGTTCACCTGTAAAAAAAGGTAGGACGTGAAAGTAGTATTTTTAATGTTTTTTAAAGAATATTTTAAATTGTTTTTTTAAGGAGAGAGAGGAAGAGAGAGAGGGGAAACACTGATCTACTATGATACTACCTCTTGCACATCCCCTACTCTGGATCAAGCCAAAACCCGGGCAGGAGCCCTGACCAGGAATTGAACCAGCAGCCTGTTGGTACACAGGACAAAGCCCATCCCAGCCACACCAGCCAGAGCAGGACATGAAAGTATTATAAAGGTGTAGTCAGTAGTTATTTATGACACTCAAACCAACTGAGCCAAGGTTGTTTATCTAGCTTTTTAAAAAACAATATGTGATTACATTTAAATACACAACTTTCGTACAACCAAAATGTAAAACACCACAATAAAATGATAGCAAGACACATGGTATTTCATTTGCAATGTATGACATATGGTTAACATCTTTAAGTCATAAACAAGTTCTTATCTAGCTTTTGTAATATTTATGGTATTTATCACCTAACACTTGCAACTGGTTGTGATTTCTCAGTCTAAATAAACGTTAACTTTTATACCTAATTTTATATTCATAATTTTGTTTTCTTAAAAAGGGTTCCCCAAATTATATAAACATCAGGACTGACAAAATCTGAGTATTTTGTTTACCCTCCTCTGATTACCACAAATATTTCTGAAATCATCATATACAAACTTGTATTAGACACACACATAAAAGCCTTTATTAATTTATTAGTGATTGTATATTTACTTGTATGTGGCCCTAAATTTCACGAAAGCAGCTCTTCAACATAAACTGTCTGGCCCATAGTAAATACTAGTAAATAAATATATGCATACTAGAGGCCCAGTGTACAAATTCATGCAGCAATGGGTTCCTCAGCCTGGCTTGCAGGATCAGGCCAAAACGAAACTGGCTCTTGACATCCCCCAAGGGGTCCTGGATTGTGAGACGGCACAAGCCAATCCTAGGATCCCCATCAGTGCACGATTGAAGCCAGAGAGGGATGAGAGAGAGTTCCAAGATATGTCATACCCTTCACCTCAGTCCTGATCAACCGAACCCCAGCATCAAGCTAACTTATTGGTAAGAGCGCTGCCCCCTGGTGATCAGTGCACATCATAGCAAGAGGTTGAGCAGTCTTAGCATATCATTAGCATATTAAATTTTGATTGGTTGAACAGATGACCACTTAGCATATTAGGCTTTTATTATATAG